ACTCCAGACCTTCATATGACAACAGCTCTTTTAGTGGTGGAATGACAGCTGCAGGGGTGGGGTCAAAGTTAAGGAGTTTTTTCCAGAACTTCATCCCAGCACTCAGTCTCACAGGCCTTTGTTTCCCAATCGCCCTCACTATGAAGGAGAATGTATCACTTAAACACACAGGATGAAATAGCTAGATTCTCTCCACAAGTTACTTAAGAACCAGAAAGAGTAACAAATAGGGAGAGGCAATCTTAGATTTCAGCGATTCTAGAAGCCTGAGATGTCACCAAGGAGTAGGGGAGATTCTTTCAGCCTAATCTTACATTCTAGGGCATGGTAAGCACTCAGTCTGTGCCCGAGAGGAGAGACTGGGATCTGTATGTTCTACTCCTACGCTTCCTTTTCAGGGTATTCCCCTGTTCTCCACTTCTCATATTGCCCTTGTCCTTATCTGCAGCACACTGAGAAGGACTCCTCACTCCAGGCCCATGCCAATATGAACTCTTCCCAGGGGTCAGATAATTTGTTTCAATACATTTTAATCTTCATATTGTAATTCTAGTTAAGTCCATAGATTAAGATTTTTTTTTAAGTTAAGCCTAGAATTGAACTTATTTTCTAAAAATATTGTGGGGCTGGAGCGATGGTTCAGCAGTTAGGAGCATTGGCTGCTCTTTTAGAGAACCCAGGTTTGATTTCCAGTATCCACACAGTAGCTTACAAATATTTGTAATGCCTGTTCCAAGGAATTAGACACCTTCTTAGCCTCTACAGGTACCAGGCACACAAGTGGTACACCGACATACATGCAAGCAAAACAACCCCCCCAAAAAACCTATAAACTAATAGCTGGAGAGTATAACACTTGCCTAACATATGCAAGACCATGGGTTCAATTACCAGTACTGCAAAGCAAAACATACAGCACAAAAACACTAAAGTAGGGCCTGAGGGGTATAAATGTAGCAGAGTACTACTTTGCATGGAGGGTGCCAGGGTTTGACTTCCAATATCTAAATAAATAAGGAAAATAAATGATTAAATAAAACAAAGCCTCATTCTATTATATAGTTTAAATTCTTCCTGAAAGGTTTAAATTTACTGTAACCAATGCAAGTTGCAAGGATTGATGGTATCTTTCTTGTGTGTCTGAAACTGTGCAGTGGTGAAAAATCCATTTCTATTCGATCAAAAAAGATTTCTCAGTCACTGTTCTGGTCATTGGCATGCTTGAAAGGAGAGCAAAGACTCTTAGGAGACCCCAACAGTACTTGCTATTGAGAGGGTAGAAGTTAGTAAGAATCTGGGCTCCCACTCCTAAGAAGAAATTCACAGAATCTCACTCTGACTTAAAAGCATCAGCTTGAGCTGTTTTCGGCCTCCATAGCTCTGTCACTACTGTCACTGCTAGAGCCTGGTAATTCCAGGTCTTGGGAGGTCTTCCCCCCACCCTCAGCGATGTGCAATTCAAGCCCCACAGCAATCCTAGACAAGCATGCAGTTCAAGCCCCACAGCAATTCTCCCAGCACTCCCAGTGCATCGCACAAGCCTCCTTCATCGGCTCAGCAAGCACGCAGTTCAAGGAGGTTCTAATTGGGATGGGCCTATGCTGCCAAATCCAGACCAAGTCTGTTTCTTGCATACAAAAGCCTCTTAAAATTATATGTACTAGTTAATCTGTGGAGGGCTTCAAATGCATTGCCATTTATATGCTTGTCCAGTTGCTCCCTGCCAGTAAGTGAGTGTGGCCTGTTAGTAGGCACAAGTGACTTATCAAGCTTTTTAGAAAGCTAATTTGGGATATTGTTTGTTGCAAAAACAAACAATTGAAGACACTTTTAATGGCTAGCACAAGGCATTATTTGTTTTTTTTAGATGTTGGTAGTAAACTGTGTTTGGAGCTGAAAGATACTACTATGCTTGGTAAAATAAACTTGCCCTGGATAGCATATATTCAATGTTCTTCAAGAATGTCATAAAAATCCATAAAGAGCAGAGTTTATCAAGTAAATACATAACCCTGACACCCTGGGAACTTAGTGCTAGCACAAAGACTATTTGTCTATGAAGGATTCACAGAGACAGAATAAAAGACTTTATGATTGTTTTTGTTCAAAATCATCAGGGAGATGGGAATATAATTAGAAGCTGAAAGCAGACTGTTTCTATAAATTTTTCTTGAATTGGCTATGGCAGGCATTATTATCTTTCTTAACAGTTATCTCAGAAAGTAGTAAGAGAGCAAACTAGTCAGATTTGTGATCAAGTTAGCGCTGACCTAGATAGGCAGGCGTGTGGGCCGTCTCTAGGATATCAGCTCAGTTAAATTCAGGGCCAAGCTCTTATCATTTAAGAGATCCAGGCTTGCTGATAAAAGTCTTAAAGCCATACCAAAAATAAACAAACAAAAGATTAATAACTTTAAAACTTCCAACTTTCCAAGTACAGAAAGTTTGAAAGAACCTAATGATTGAAATAAACAGTATGAACACCCATACTCTTAAACAGAATATTTGAGATTAAAATATTGACATGTATGTATAATAAAACAAAACAGTAAAAATGCATAAACCTAGGTCTTAAGACAATGATTTAAGGATATGCTATACCAGTGGTGGATATCATCTTAACATGAAACATACATTTCACCAAAATACGGCCTACTGTGTTTGAGATCTCCTTCTAAATGCAGCTAAGTATGTCAGTTTATTAAATTATATCTTTTAAACATATACTGTATAACTCTCCAAAATCTACTTCTGTATTGTGAAAACACTACAAATAGTGGACAAAGAAGGCCCAGGAAGATTTTTAAAAATTAAAATTAATTTTAAAAAACCTCTTATGCATGAAATTAACTCATGTGTGGTACATGAGGCCTCTCTGGTGGCGAGACATATTAACCAGTCTCACTGGGGTTTGGTCAACTTAGTTCAGTTTCTAATGACCTTCATAGGCAATCACTCCGCTGCTCTTTTTACTGCTTTTAGCCAATAGGTAAGAAAGCAAAGTTAAGTACTAGATAACAGGGAAATTTGCCACAAAAAATAAGAAAGGTAAGAAAGAAATTCAGCTTGACAATTTGTGGGTTGAACATATGTTTAGAATTACATACTATTGACTTAAAGAAAATTGTCTTGACTAGTGTTTTTTTTTTTTTAATCTTCTACAAATATTTACTTAGTGGGACCCTGTGAATTCAAAAATTTCTTCCAGTATATTTGTCTCACTTTATGACATAGAGAATTTTTCCAAGTTCAAATGATAATAAATCCAGCAAAAAAGATCACAAATTAGAATGACCAACATGTTCTGCCATTTGCACGAGGCACCTACAGATCCTATGAAAGCTGTGAAAATATGAAAACATTTGGGGAAATTATTTTAACAAAATTTTTATGAATGTCTTCTGCTATTAGCAACTGCTTCATAACCTGAAAAGGAAATGAAATCACTAATACTGTATATGTTGTCACAGTGGCGACCATACGTGGCTTCCCTCCATGGGAGGATCTCGACAAGGCCGATGACAATCATCCTTATTTTCAGAGAATTATTAAGTGAAAAAAAACATTATTTGTTGAAATATGTAAAACTTACTAACTGAAAACAATTAGTCACATACTCGGCGACCCATTTCTACATCAAAAATTTAAAGTCACACTTTTTACATATGAATTTTAAATGTCAAAGGGATTTTGAAATAAACATGATTTTTAAATGTAATTTGGAATTTTTTTTTATAAAAGTGATTCTGAAAAATGTAGTGACAGGAACATTAAGAAAACCAGTCCCTCTAAAGGAAATATTACACTTACTTATTGAAAATAGTTAACACAAAAATGTTAAAGTCGTCTTAAATTCAATAAAAAATATGAGATTTCTGGGTATCTTAGTTCTAGTTTTTAAAGAACTTATATTCTTTTAAATATAAAAGAATGAGGAAACAATATGTAAAAGTTCTTCGGCCTGGAGCTCTGCAAAACTTTAGCCTTCATTGTCCTGCCGCAGTTAAAAGAATACGAAACTTTTACATTTGAAAAAGATTTTTTTCTTAAAAATAAAACTTTCTTTTTTTCTTCTTCTAGTGAACTGCAAAAGATTGAGATGCCCAGTAGTTGCTTCTTAGATCTTCTCACTGAAAATCTAATTCTCAGCAAATCAAATATGAAATAACACACAGCAAGGAGCAAATTTACACAAAACACACGGTAAGATAAAAACGGTTGGCTTTATAATATGCTTCGCTCCAGCTAATGTATGAGACTGACTTTGAACTTTGGGATATTAAGATATTACAGGCATATATTTAATTTTAGAGCAAATCTGGTTGAAGAAAGACAGCAGAGAATATATTTTAAAGTTGAGGCTGAATCTCTTGGAATATCTCTCTAAATGCTCTTAGTATCTATCTATGAGTGTTTCTATGAAACTTTCAAGAGCTATCTCTTTGAGAAGCCATAGAAATGTCAGTTCCTACACTAGCCAGTTCTTCTAAATCATGTAGCACCCGAAGTTATGGTTTCAGTCAGTAATTGATCACTCAGCATGGACAGGAAGACTACAAGAGTACCTGGTATCTGCGGAAGACCTGCCCAAGTCCAAGACTAAGTTACTCATTTAATAACTGCGGTTAACAATTTGCTTCGTGCATGATAATGAAGAGTTGACATTACAATAATGAACTTCAAAATCAAGAGGCTTTGCAAATATTAAGTATCCTACAACTTGGTTCATCTGTTTTTTTTTCTTCCTCAAATGATCATTTAACATTTTTGTCCTTTATCCTTCTCAGAAGAAAAACTTTAGCTTATTCCCGACAGAAGACTTAACTTTTTCCCCCTCCTGATGTAAGTGACACAACTTTCCCTACCGTTAGCTTCAGAAGGGAAGCAGATTCTTACTGTACAAGAACACAGTAAAACCATCCTGATACGTACGAACTTGGGGCAGTTTGGCCACCTCACAACATGCTCCAAGGAAACGCGAAGACGGTGGGGCCACTCACCTAAGCAATGGGAGTTAAGAAGAATTTAGAGCTGCAGCCTTCTGATCCCCAGCAGAGGTCCAGGCCCCTTTTTGACCTCCCCTCGTCCCTTATATAAAAGCAGTCCTGGCTACTCCCAGTTACTGCCTCCTCACCTTAGGCTCCTCCCCAATCCCAAACCATAAAGCACCGGAGCTACACACCCACCTCCCACCCCCACCAGGACTGCCGCCTCCAGTTGCCTGTCCCTGTGCTGGCCCCCTCGGTAGACTGTAGGTGGGCGCTGACGGGGAGGGGCTTTCGCGACAGCGAAGCCCGCTTTCCCCACACCTGGGCCAGCTCCGGGCGGGGGCCGCGGGCCAAGTCGCCAGGCTGAGCACCGGCACGCCCCTCCCCCCTCCAGCGCCCCCGGGCCCCGAGCGGCTGCGGGCGAGCCCCTCTCTGAAAATTGTCACCAAGATCGGCCCAATGCATTCCCCGAGGGAGTTCTGGGCCCTGCGGAGCCCAGGCTTTCCTGTCAGGGTCTGGCCAGCCTGCTCCGAGCTCGCGCATGCCCGCGCACCCTCGCAGGGAGCCTGAGGTGGCTCGGCTGTGACCCTCCACGCCGCACCCGTGCCCCTCGGCCCGAGGGCAGTCACCCTGCCAGGACACTCGGCCCTCTCGGTGTGTGGCGGGTCCTCAGCCGAGACCCCACACTCTGCCCCTCAATCCCCGACCCCGCCCCGCTATCACGCTCGCCGGTCGCTCGCACGCTGGCTCGCTCTTCTCCCAGCGTGATTTCTCCTCAGCCCGTGTTCGTCTCAGACCTAGACTCCGTCACGTCACCTTGTTTGTCACTTTTGGTCCTGTCAGAGTGGGACTTATTCAGCTGTGTCCCCCTCAGTCAAGATTCTGTCACTTTGTCTGTCACACTCACGGTCCTGTCAGAGTCTGACTTCCCAGCCCGCGTCCCCTCTGGTTGAAGCCGGGCTAGGCTGTCAGTCACACAGTCCTGTCAGAGTGTGACTTCTCAGCTTGTGTCCCCTCAGCTCAGACCCCGTCCCCTGAGGCCGAGACCCCCTCACCTTGTGCGTCACGCAGTCCTGTCAGTGCGGCTTCTCAGTCGAGTTTCCCTCAGCCCAGAGCCGTCCGTCCTCAGGCTGTCAGTCACCCAGCGTCCCGTCAGAGTGCGACTTCTCCTCGGCCGGGTCGGTCACCTTGTCGTCACACTCGGTCCCCTCAGGCCGCGCACGACCCCGTACCCCAGCGCGGCGCCTCGGGTTTCTCCTTCCGCGTCCCTCCGGCCGGCCGCGTGGCCCGGGGCGACTCTGACCTGAGGCGGCGGCGGCTTGGCGGGCGCTGAGCGTCCCCGCAGCCGACCCGACCCGAGCGCCCCAGGCAGCAGCCGCTCCGAGTGCGAGGAGCCCCGCCTGGCCGCGGCGGACGAGCCGAGCCAAGCGACCGCGCCGGGCCGGGCCGGGCCGGGGGCGGCGCCCAGGGAGCGGCCGGAGGCCCTGCGCCCACGACCGAGGCCGGCGCCCACGAGGCCCGCGTGGCCCCCAGGCCCCAGCCCCGCGCCCCGCGCCCGCGCAGGCTACCTGGCCACCTTACTCCTCACAGCCGCTGGGAGGCGACCCGGGAAGGTCCCGTGTCCCTCAGACCGATGCCCAGGGCCAGGCCTGGTGTGCTGACCATCCCGCGGAAGTTTGGTTTGCTCTAGAGGTTCTTTTCAGTAACATTAAAACAAAAATCTATGCGAATTTAAGCATATTTAGGATCTCTTGTTTGTTTTTAATCTTTGAACTCTATGAAGGGGAACCTTAGTGTTAATCATTCAGACGATTTCCTTAAAAAAAAAAAAAAATGTGGCTCCTCTGAAGCTGGAGCTGCAGGTGGTTGGTGCCTGGAACCGAACATGGGTCCTTGGTTCACAAACACTAATTGTTCCTAATTGAGCCATCTCTCCAGCCCTCTATTTTTTAACCTTGTTCAGTGAATTTCTTAAATTCTTTAGCAGTATTTCCTGCACTGGAGACCTCTCACACACGTTGGGGAGGACTTGAGAATCTCTTGTTTTAAGTTAGAGTATTAGGGCTTGTTGTCTCAGGAGCTTGAAGTGCACACGATGGACAGACAGTTCCTTTTCTCTCAGCTCTCTCTGTCATGGTCTGCCCCAAAGGGGCACATTCAGAAAGTCTGTGGTGTCCAGGACACCAGAGGCCTTTCTTTTATCCTTTTCCAATCTTATTGATTGAAAATCTTATTCCACATCTGGCTCTCCTTCTGGAGGCACTGACTTCTGGGAGTTTATAATCCTAATCCTGCTACTTGCTCTTAGCATCTCTATTTGTTGGGGGATATGAAATTTTTTATTCTGGTACAAAAAGTTCTCACTGGCTTTTCCCAGCAAGTGTTTGTGAGGGTAACATTATGGAATAAGTTCAGAGCTTGAATCAACAGATTCATGTCCTTCCACACTCAGGCCCTAAAATAATAAGACATAGGTCAGGCCCATAGGGACTCTAACGACCATTTTACTAATCATGGAAAGACTCCATTTCTATGCCAATCATTAAGTGGCCATGTTAACTTAGCTCAGCATCCTACACCAAGAGGGAAGTATGTACATATGTAGTAAGTATGTAGTAAGTATATGGCCAACTTCTTGCTCCTCCAAGAATTCCATTCTATTTTTTTTTGTTTTGATTTTGTATTGTTAAACTTTTTGAGAAGGTGTTGTTACATAGCCTTGAACTCACTGCTATTCTCTTGAGGCTTTTAATGTCTTGTGGCATTTTAATGTCTTTATTGACATTAAATGTCTTTATTGAACTATAATTTACATAATCTAAAATGCAAATACCATACATCCAAAATTTACACACTGAGTTTTGGCCTAAATACAAAATTGTGTCATTATCACCATAACCTAATTTTAGAATATTTTAACCACTCTGTGGAGAAACTTCCTCTCATGAACAGTCATTCTCATGAGCCCTAGGTTCACTGTCCACCTACTTTCTGCATGGATAGGTTTTCCTATTCTAGACATTTCAGATTAATGGAATCATACAATATGAAGTCCTATGTGATTGATTTCTTTCAGTAGCATAATGTTGTTAAGACCCACCTGGGCTGTAGCTTCCAGTATTTCCATCCTTTGTTTATTTCAGACAGTGTCTTCTTATGCACCCTAGGTTAGCCTTGAACTAGTTAGTAACCCTCCTGCCTCCAGCATGCTAGAATTAGAGGCATGCCTGATAGTATTTCTTTCATTATAAAATAATGTTCTATTGTATGACATAGAAAATATTTATTCATGCATCTATTTCTTTAGGCTGTTTCTACTTTTTTTGTATGTGCATGTGTTCATGTGTGCACATGTGTCTGTGCACATATGTATGTGCAGATGCAAGTAGAGACCAGAGGTTGATACTAGATATCTTCAATTGCTATCCACCTTATTTTTTAAATTTGCTTATTTTATTGTACATGTATGTATGTGTACCACATGTGTGCTTGAGTCTGCATCTGATTCTCTGGAACTGGCTTTACAGGCAACTGTGAGCTGCCGTGTTGTAGATGCTCAGAACTGAGCCTGGGTCCTCTGCAAAAGCATTAAGTGTTCTTAACAGTTGAGCTATCTCTTGAGTTCTTCATCATATTTTTTGAGACAAAGTCTCTCACTGAACCTGGAGCTCCTTATCTGGCAGGAAGTCTCTGGGGTCCTCCCATCTCCATCTTCCCAATACAGAATTAAAATCCTGTGTACCCTCCCCATAACTTTTTGTGTAGGCTCTGGGGATCAAACTTTCAAAGCAAGCACTTTACTGGGCCATAGCTCCAGCCCTGCTCCTAGTTTTTGGGTATTATGAAACTTGCTACTATAAGCAGTGACGGACAATGTTATTTGTGTGTGTTTTAATTTCATTTCGTATATATGGTAACAATATGTTTGAAAGGAATTTAAAAATTGTCTGTAGGAATGAGAAATAGCATTTTATTTTTCCACTAGCAATGCATGAGAGGCCTATTTTCTTCACAATCTTGTTAGCACTTATTAAAAATTTTAGCTGATCCAATAGGTATAAATGGCATCTTACTGTTTTGATTTGCATTTCCTTAATGACTAATCACACTGAGTATCTTTTCATGTAGCCACTGGCCATTTGTGTATCTTCTTGAAGAAAAGGCTATTCAAATTGTTTGCTTGTTTTAAAACCATTTTTTTAAAGTTTTATATGGAACAGTTATTTATACATTATGTGTACAAGTCTCTTTTCAGATATATAATTTGAAAATATTTTCTCCCATCTGTAACCTGTCTTGTTTGGTTGTTTTTAGCCAAGAACTTGCTATGTAGCCCAACCTAATGTCCAATTGGAGATCCTCCTGCCTCAGCTTCCTGAGATCATTTCTGTGCATCACCATGCCCAGCTTGTCCATTTACTTTCTTAATGACATTGTTAAAAGCACAGATTAGGAAAAAAACTTTGATCTATTTTAGCTTTCATTTTGTTTTATTTTGGTGTCATATCAAAGATAAGTTCAATATTGTAAGTATTATTTGGTTTAATTCTGCAAATGTTATTGGCTTGGTTCTTAAATATAGGTTTGTAATCCATTCTGAGATAAATTTTGTATATGGTGTGAGGTTAGGGACAATTTCCACAATTCATCAAGAGCCATAAAGGGGAAATTCCACCACAGAGAATTCATAAATGGCGTAAAAGTTTAGCATTGATCTGAATTATTTCTAAACAATTTGTCTCCAGAATCAAAACTTCTGTTATTTTCAAAGTGTCTGTGGCTAGTGAAACCTACAAATACAAGTGAGTGAACAATAGACAAGAAATAGTCTAAACTGTCAAACCTGTGGCCTTGCCATTAGTGGGTTATGATATCACTTTAGTGGTTTAAAGCCAATACTTTTCAAATCAAATAAAAAGGACAGAATGCAAAACACAGGCTTTCAGAATGTGGATTCTGTATGAAAGAAAATGTGGCTTTGGAGTTTTATATGTGTGGGCTTATGTGTTCCACGAGTTGGTATCACATGGATTTCTTAACTACAGATGACATTTTTAAAAGGTGGGAAGACACTGTATAAACTCTTCTTGCAGGATTCTTCTATTCCACAAACATTTATTGAGCGCTTATTTTTGTGCTAGGTCCTCTGCTAAGTGCAGGGGATAAAATGATA